TAAGTAGACTGCCGCTGACATACCGTTTTCAAAAACGTATTCAGTCTAAGCAGAACAACTCGTAACCTCTCAAGGGAGACGACAAGCTAGGATTCTCATCGAATTGCATGGGAAATGGTCTTACGACGCTCCAGGCAACACAGTGCACTCACGCAATTCCGCGTGTAAGCGTCGCGTCTGTAACCTCTTTACCTCGCAGTTTTGAATGATGCAAGTGGTGCATTCTCTGCAAGTTCGCACCACTATGCCACTTGCACAGAGGCGTTCCATGGGTCACTTGCTCGCACTGTCTTTAAAATGAAAATACTGCGTGACTCCGAGTCATTGCGTGGATCGAATCACATCCAAATACTACCACGATTTTGAATGAAGTGCAATGCAAGGCGCATCCTAGATCAACTAATTTGGCGCTGAGAGCTTTATCCTTTATCTAATAATCTATCCATTTCACATACCACACATAATGTTGCGCACTCGTTCATTGAAACCCAGTATCAACACAATAGAACACAGCTGATATACACACAAAGACGGAGTCTCCAATGGCAAGGGAACGCCATTTTAATAAATACAATGCGATACTGAGAAATGAAGAAGCGCAAGTATTATAATATTTGCACAGATAGCTTCAGAAGAACAAGTATAGAAATCTAAACATTTGTTTTTATTATAGAATTAAACCAGCCAGAAAGGACCTACGCATTTTGATAGAGCTTTACACTCACGACATCACCCTCGGCACTACACTCATTCACATACCCATAGAAATTAGGAGCTTTTTCTATTCTCTATATACAACAGCACTGAAAATAATAAACGATAAGTAGCGTTTGATAATCTGAATAAGCGCTTCTGAAATGACCCGCTTATATGTAGACAACAGTCAGCATAGCTGATGGATCTGATGACCTAGAGATACGCTGAGTGATATGACTTAAATCTCGTAATCGGTTGGAGAAGCTGCAGCTTTTGGCGCTTCCTCGTCTTCGTCACTGATCGAGTTGAGGCTGGCAGCTCTTAGAGCGTTCGGGTTCCGTATGGCATGAGGAGCAGAAACAGTAACTCCTTGACTTGCAGCACTCTGCCCTTGACTTGCCGACACCTTACCGCTGCCATCTGTAACAATCATTATTAAAAACACTTTCTTTAATACATAGTAACTGGGAATTCAGCTTTACTCACCTCTAAGCACCCCTCTTTACAAACACTTTTTCGGAATGACTCCCGGATTTGGACTCTAGTTTTGCCCTCCGAACAGAATACACACGCGTTAGGCGCGAAAACGCTCGCCCCCATACCATATGCCTTGGTGGCAGGGTGGTCATGGCGCTAGCAGTTGTAGCGCGGAACCCCCCCCCACATGCTACGGGGCCTGCAGCAAGAGCAACAGATGCGAGTGTTTTTGAGCCAGAATGATATGTGATTCGTTTCTGGAGTTCAATAAACTCTAAGAAAAAAGTTCAAGTCAGATCTAATCTCAGCCGAAATTTTGGGGCAGTTCGTAGAAGGGAGGAGGGGCATTTTGCACTTTCGCTTCTTCACTAGTTCCGGTCCTACAAGTCTCACACTGGGGACCTCGTTGAACTCTGTGTACTTGACAGGGAGGCTCGTCTAGCCATTATGGTAGGGCTGTCAATTCTTGCAAAGGTTCCGCGAGTTGCTCTCTAGATGGCCACAGCACGTCGATGAGGAAGTGCAAAAAGTGCAACATGCCCAGCCCGGGTCCCGAACTGTCCCGAAATTCCTTCAACTATTTGATTATGTGTCTGACTATGCGGATCAAAACATGGAAAAATGTTGATGTCGAAAATTTCGAAGAAAATGGGTGTGTTTTCCGCTCTGTCAAGTCCGCACACAGCCGCCCAGTGAGGAAGTTATAAGAAGTATGAGCATGACAAAACGCTTTGCCCCACAGATTGCGAGCTCTGACCAGTGCTGTCCGAGCAGTGTGCCATGATAGCCTGAAGCCAAGAGACCAGAGTTCGTCGACTAGCTGAGATTTGCCAGTTTTAATAACAAAACTTGTGATACACAAGGAATACACGATTAGATGTGTTTCCCAAATCGCATCGCAGCTGCGTGTACAGCGCCGAAGGGGGAGGAGAGTGGGGACGCAATTCATTTAAACCGATAAAATTGTGACGTCAGTCAATATCAACACATTTCGAGAAACAATTTGCATTGCTGCGATTATTTAGGAAAGAACAAAGACCGGAAACAAGCACTGAAATCAATTTCCATGGTCGATCTGCTGAACCGCACCGTCTGAAGCTCAAAGATAGGCTAAATGGTAAGTGACTTCAACGCAAGCTCCAAACAGCACACACTGGATCCCAGAGTTAAGGAAATCACAAGAAAGCGATGTATTTAAGCTGTAGGAGAAGAGAGAGGTCTTAAGCTAATTGACAGGGATCTAAATTACAGAGATCGTAAGAAAGTGGAGCATTTCCGTGCCCTGGTCTTGAAGGAATTGAGTCAGCTGTATACTTATAGGAAAAGATTGCTGAAGAGTTGGACTATTTCATTCTTATGTGAATGAGAAGGTTGCAGGGAATCATATGAAAGGCAGCGGTGTGGGAGGTTATGCAGGATGAGCACATTCGTGCATCGCCCTGGTGTGTACCGGCTCCAACACTGGCTTCATTCCAAACTTTCTCGCTCAGCGTGAAGGGATTGACTTTTCCTTTCTCGCTCCGCGCTCCGACCCACCATCGAATACGAGCAGAAGGTTCTCTTCGCAAAAATCTTACCCCGTTCTGATTGTTCCATGTGAGCAAGTGACGGTTCCGATGAAGTGCTTGGGAAAATTTGCATATGATCTTTTCCGAGACGTTGAATCGGAGGCGGCGTAGCTGTCTGTAACGAGTAGATAATTTCAAAAAGAATATTGATCCAAAGTGACAGCTACTTTAGCTTTGGTCCTAACCCTCCACAAAATGGGCAAAAAGTAGTGGATGGCGAGAACTGGTACTTAGAGGAATTCACTTACAAATTATGATGGATAACAAAAAGGAAAGGATCTGATGTGATTTGCAACCAGAAGGGGGGCACCAAGCAAAGAGAGGAAAACTCCGACGTCAAAAACGACCATCTTACCGAACGTTCGTTCTTTGGCTGCGCTGTGTCCGATTCTCCGGCCTCTTGAGCTTGTTTCTCAATCGCTTTTCGCCGCTCTTCACGGTCCATATACCAAATTGTGACCGCGAACCTGGAACGAAGATAGTTTGCTTCACCAACATGAACCCAAAAATCTCTTCGCGTTATAATGGTACAATTTTCCCTTCACGACCCCATTTTTACTAATTTACACTAATTTACTTTGGTGCTGGCTCGCCCTTCCACAACTGATGAAGAACGGCTTGGCACCGCTACAAACTAAGCCCTTTCATACGCCACAGCATCCACGGCGAACAAGACTGTGGGCAACGAATCAGGAGGACTCAGGGTTCGTGGGGCTCCTGTTAGGCATTCTGACGCCATATTCATACGATAGTTGTATACTATCCCGTGAGTAATTCTCCGTAACATCTATTTCTGGGGGTGAATACCGGTAGAAATGTGGCCCTAACTCCGGAAGAAATTGGGGGGGGGGATGAGTAACAAGGGAAACTGTACAAAATAAGGAGCCCCTAGGTCCACGACGAATATATAATAATTGGTAAATGACTGTTCTGGTAAGAGAGAATTAGTGATTTAAACACCGCTAACACATCACCTTGAGCCAGATGCGGTTCAGATCCCTTTGCGATTCCAAACGAAAAGCAAATGCATGGGGTATATTCAAGGAACTTCCTTGTCGGGTCAGTTAACAGAATAGGAACCGGAAAGAATCGAGGCAAAAATTTCGCTCACCGCGGTCTGAAAACCGGCATCACTTCATGCGGATTTCGCCTATCCGACCAGAAAAACACGAGACGATCTGCTTTTGGATCAATATCCATTGGTATCATTGAGGTTTCGGGATAGAGACGTAGTGTTCCTCCGTGCTATAATTCAGTGCTAATTAACGTACCGGAATTCGCGCCTGGATCACACTTATAACAGTAAGTGTACCTTATTGATATCCCAGTTCTCATTACAGTAGTAAATTGTGGTAATACATCGGCCGTCTTTCACTGGGTTATCGACATGTTTCACATATCTCGTTCCGTTTCCAGGATAAATTGCAAGCATAGCCTGAAGCAAGAGGTTTAAATAACATCTACTTATACAGCGTTTCGAAAAATGCCTTGACCCTACTTTTCAGCAATTTGTCATCAGAAACCTGGCAAATTTGCGCGAAATATAACGGGACTCCCTTTCCCTCAACTTGCTTATATGCACTTTAGTTTCTTTCACAGAGACATGATTGCTATACCTTATCATTTATCACCAATATGGGAAGCAGTGAGGAAATGGAAAACTGACGGGAGTGACGCCAACACTTTCGTTGCCAAGGGATCTACACAAAGTGAAAAACAGCAGAAAATTATATACGAATTCTTCGGCACTGTCCAGCTTGAGAGGTGCACCAAATGGTGAGCAGCCAAGCCTACACAGGTCACATTGTGGAGGTCAGTAAATTCTTGTGACCAAAGTGGCTCACATGTATTATAATATTCCGTAGCAACACACTTATAATTTCACCAAAATGAGCTTGTTCGTAAACATGAATAGGCAAGAAGTACTAGCAAAAGCGCAAAAAACCCTTCCAAGCCGAACCCGACATACGATTTTTTTCCAAGCTATGCGGAAGATGGGTAAATCGCTGGAAACACCAAAGGTTGCGCCTGTGCCTTCTTCTCAACAGGAGATCAGATGCCTCTCAAGGCACATTCCAAGCTGATCATATAGGCGGAGTTAGTTTAGCAAAGGACCTTATTCATGGGTGAGCCTGCTTTCTCATATGAAAAAGCAGAGCCTAGCAATGAGAAAAGTACAATGGCACACTTGGTCAGGTGAAGGGTCTATCGTTGGCGTGTTCTTCTCATTAGTTAGAGAACGTGCGACAAAATGAAGGAATGAAAACGATGAGACGAAGGAATCATCCGGACCTATCCTATTCCCCGAGACAGGCTAATTTTTTAAAGAATAAACCGCTCGTACCCTTGATCTTCCGCTGATGTCATACGGCGGAAGTCGACCTTTGAAATGCTGAATCACACTATCGATCATTGATACAAGTAGGCGTACTGTAGCAGCATCATTGGCACGTGGATCAATGCCATCAAACCAATAAATCTGTAAACAAAACATTTTCAAATTGAGGGAACAACGCGAAAGTAAACGATTCTGAACTGTGGATACTGTAGCAGTTTCATACAGCTCTGAAGAGCAAACTGGGATTAAACGTGGCTGAAAACTGCGTTGTGTCCCTGACCTCAACGTTTTGCATTTGTGCTCATATACAACAACTGCACACAAAAGCCCTCTTTTGGCAGCCGTAGGAAAACACTCTGTCTCCGGTTCATCAGTGCTTTTTTACAACACAGGCAGCACTCTCTAGCACTTACAGTCTAAGGAGTGCAATCTATCCAGACAGCAATCGATGGCAGTATTTATTTGTGGTCCATATCTGAGGGCAGTAAGAGGTGTGAACGTGACGACGATCCCCACAAAAGAGAAAACGAGGCTAAACTTTGTGTTGGAGTTAAAGTTAAGATTAGTTTGTAGTTACACGTCGGTTCACGAGACTTTTTCTTGAGGCGAACAGAGAAGGACAGGAGAGCCAGTTTTCGTCTCTGTCATGGTCTACTCTGTGGAGCTCCTTAGGATGTATCAACCATGCTTTTTACAAAATTCCGTAACTCTGTTCCATGAGGTCGGGTAGAAGACATACAACAAGGGAAGTAGGACTTGCAATTCAACGCGCTCTTGGAAATACAGACCTGCTTGAACTGGGGAATAAAAGATAAATGATGGTTCTCTCGGCGCTAATTAATCCCCTGTGGCGAGCCTCACAGTTATCGAATAACATATGAAATTGTAAAGCATTTTAATGGGCAGTTGGTATATACCAAAACTCTTTACATCCATCTGAAACTCAAAAGATTGTTTTATCATGATGACTGCTATTTAACACCGCAGTTCGCACTCCGAAAATTATCACAAGAATTATGCGTTATAGGCAAGAGTCCTGACCCCAAGCGGGACTCGAACCCGCCCTTGCGCTTTCTGGATATCCGTTAGGTCCCAGGGCCAATCTCTCTCACACTACTCAGCTTTATGCCGTAGTACTGACGCACTCTTACTTTTAATATGGTGAGCCGATCAGCTGTACCATCAGATAGTGGAAAGATTCCGCGAGCTTGAAGGCCTAAAGAGGGCAAGAGCGGACCTGGTAGCTTAATGGATAGCGCAGTCACCCCAAAAGAGTGAAGTTCGGGGCTCGAAAC